GAATGTTAAGTATGACTGTAGGGTCAAGTGACTGAGGACAGATAAGAGACCTGAAAAATGAGAACTAGGATCTGGGGGAAGCTAAGAATGAATGAAGGAATTGCAGAAGGGCAGGAATTGGGTGACTCATCAAGTATAAAGTGCATTTACTGTATTGTCTGAGAATGTTCACTATGACAGTGGAAAACAAATATAATTTATGTAACCTATGTGTGCATGAGTGCGCAGTCGTGTCTCTTTGTGACTCTGTGGACTGTAGCCTGCCAGGTTCCTCTGTTCGTGGTATTCCAGGCAAGAATAGTGGACTGGGTTGCCACTTCCTGCTTCAGGGGATCTTCCCGACCTTGTTATTTAACTCGAGTCTCCTGTGTCACCTGCATTGGCAGGTGGATTCTTTACCACTGAGCCACCTGGGAATCCCTATATAGCACATTAACTGTAGCTAAGTAAGTATGACTGATTTGGATAGGCAGAGTACAAGTACACAGAACACAGAATGGGACCAGAGGAGCAAGAGGCATCAGTACTCTTATTTAGTCCAACACTAAATATCCTTATGTACCAGAGGCATCCAACATCCATAGCTTTTATCTATGTATTTATTTTCTGGAGCAGAGAAAGGTTTATTGCAAAGCCATGCAAGGAGACAGGTTCCTCATGCCCTGAAGAGTCAGAAGCTCCCCAGAGGGTTTCAGAGAAGCACTTTTAAAAGCCAGGTGAGGGAGGGGGAATCACAGGATTTGTGATCAACTTGTGCACAATTCTCTGATCAGATTGTGCCACCATCCATAGCTTTTAAATTGGTGGTTCATTGGTAACACCCATTCCAACACCACTTGAATTCTACCAAAGTGGTGAAAATAAATTCCACAGCTGCTCATCAAGCTAAGAAAAGCTATACTTATGGCCAGGAGTACCTGCCCTCAATGTCCCCATGGAGAAAGCCTGGGTGACTGTGTCCAGCTACATTTTTTCTGCAAAGCTGTGGCCCTAATTCAGTCTGACCACATCCTTAGTCCCTGTCACATCTTGCACCCAAGACATGGGTTGTATGAACACTGCCAACCTTTCTATAATTCCCCCTTGAGACCCTAAGTGCATGAGCCTGTCCCAGTTTAATTCATTCAATAGGCTTCTAGCATCTTGATTTCATCTGTGAGATTTTTCTGTTCAATACCTTGCTTGGTCATTATACTTTGGAGGTAGAGCTACCTTGCATTCATTTCCCAAGCTTTTAACCTTTTTAAATTCTCAAGGACACTTTCTCCCAGGCCACATCAAACACCCAGAAACCGGGAACCCCTTAAGGAAGAGCTCGCCACCAGCTGCTGTTGCTTTCAGTCTGGTTTCACCTCAGCCTCACACCAAGGCATCTATTCAAATGCCTACATTTCGGTCTCCTCAGTCGGACTCACTTCCTGTGCCAGAAGCTTTTGTCGGCCCCAACTGCTTCTTTATTTAACAAATTCCCTTTATCTCCCATTTGAGGCAGCTCCTTGGGCCCCGGGGGGCCAGCAGTATTTGCTAAGGGCCCTCCCCCTTTCCTGCCCCGTCTGGCGGCTGTCTGCCATTACCTTTGGGTCTCAAATCATGGCTTCCCACCCCACCCCACCCCACCCTAGACACCAAGTTTTCTGAATAGTAGGATTATTCCTAACAGGATGAAATTTGTCCTTTATCCTGAGAATTGGGTGCTTGAAATTCAGTAAGCAAGGTCTCTACTCCTCCCACTCTTGGGCTTTGAATCCAGGCTGTGGAATTCAGAAGACTTAGGCAAATTCAGCCCCATGTGCTTCTCGTTCAGGCATGAACTGAAATGAAGAGGCAAGCTGAAAATCAAGACAAAGCTAAAATATAATGCAGTAAAATGACATTAGAAGTGACATCCACCTCCATTAGGGAGGAGGATGGAGAGATCAATATTTTCTGAAGAGAAGGGATGTGGAAAGATGGGAGAGGCTGGCAGGTGACAATCTCCTTTTTTGCGTGTCTCCTTCAGTTATACTAGTTTATATTCTTGGTAATCCTATGACCCAAAGCAAACATTTAAAGTCTTTAAATTGCTGTTGTTAATAGTAACTTGATTTGTAATGGCAAATAACCAAAACAGAAGCAAATTAATGTATTTGCAATATGTATTGCAGCATTTAGTATGTGTCAATACAGCATTTAAATTCATTGATGTGGAGATTTTTATTTTTAGTTAGAAAAAGTGAGTTGCAGAAAATGCATATAATTTATCTGGATAGGAAAAGTGAGTTATGTTGATGTCAGGTGTATGTATGAAAATGTCAGGAAAGATGTCAGAGTTAGTTAAAGTTAAGTAACAATCTTTCTTTTTTAAGGAAATGACAAAGTCACACTGAGATATTAGGAAACACCAAAAAACTTAAAATCTTTCCCTGGTTCGACTAACTTGAATTTCACTCTTCATTAGCAGAAATATTTTGAGAGAACATTTGAGGAAGAAACCATCTCAACGTTAACTACTATGTTTAATAAGGAAAATAGGGACTCCGTTCTTGAATGTAGTTGTCAATTTTTATTATTTAAATTACCTCAGATCTCTCAATTTTGACATGCAAAGAGGCTGAAAAATGTAAAGTGGATAAAAGCCTTTCAGCAGAGAATGCATGGTATAATCCTCTTACATAAGTCTATTAAATCAACATATATAAACCACCCATATTACATATATTAAAACACCTGTAGGAATATATGCTATCTTGTTGATATTGTTTACTAGACTCACTTCATTTTGTATTTCTCTATTGCTTAGTTTTTAATGATTCTTTGTTTTGCAATCAAAAGCTCCAGTCTTTAAATAGATGAACATTTCTGTAAAATGGCTGATTGTCAAAAGTTAGTGAAGTGGCCCAGTCGTGTCCGACTCTTTGCGACCCCGTGGACTGTAGCCTACCAAGCTCCTCCGTCCATGGGATTCTCCAGGCAAGAACACTGGAGTGGGTTGCCATTTAGTGATCATCAAAATTCAATCTATTTTCTGCTTTCCCCTTTTCCTTCAGCCTTGTTTTCCATCTTCTCCATTATCTAGCATGATGTTTTAAACATAATAGGTGCTCCTATCCTTTTTGGCACTAATAAATCTTCCTAAATTAGCTGTTCCTTACCTATTCCCAATGTTTTATAGCTACACTTAATCCAAAGCACAAAGTTGTAAAAAAAAAAAACTAACAATGGTTCATCTCAGTACTGGAAAACTAAATTTAGTGTTTCCTGGGTTCTACCACTTTACTTGGAATATAACGAAGTTACAATGTTGTGTTTTTGTACATGAGTAAGCTATGTGTATGCCTATACCGCCTCCCCCTTGAGCCTCCTCCCACCCCCAGTAACACTTTGCAGTAACTATTTTCCCAAGTTTTCCACGTTCTGGTTCATCATTTAATGCTTTTTTCAAATTTGTCAGTTCATCTTGTGCACTTGTTTAGAGCCAAGAATTTTGTAAATATTAAAGTGACTGATGATACAATCAGTCAGTGCTTTCTATTTCCATTATCTACTCGGTTAAATATGCTGCTTGGCACAAAACCCACAGATCTGCCAGTCAAAAAGAATATTGCATTGAACTTTGGTATTGATAGAAATTTTCACTGACTTCCTCTTTTAGTCAAATGTCTAAACTCATTGGGTTGGACAGTATGAATAGATAAAAATTGGAAAACTAGGGGAACCACGAGGAAAACAAGAAAACCACTCTGGTTATTCCCACCAATGCTCTGTGGTAACCTAAATAGGAAGGAAATGCAAAAAAAAAAAAAAAGTGGGGGGTATAGAGAGCTGATTCACCTTGCTAGTACGGTAGAAACTAGCGCAACATTGTAAAGCAGCTATACTCTAAATAATTTTTATTGATTTTAAAGAACCATTCTGAATTTCACATAAAAAATTAGAATAAGATTAAGCTGAACCCTAACGGTTGTTTCTGGCAGAAGAGCAGTCACAGGCCCTGTCCTGTGCTATAGGAGAGCTCCCTCCTGTCCCTCCATTGCCCACCACTTCGCTTCTTTACAAACCTTTGCTCCAGATCTTCCAGACGTGGCATTCTTCCTTAACTGTAAACCACAGATTTTATGGTTTCAATATTACACAGAAAGGAAGTAAGTTTGTTCAGGTTTAATTAATCCATCACCTAATATTGTGTATCTGGTTACCTTTCCTTTACTCACTTCTAGTTTCCTGGATGCCTAGAGATTAGTTTATTCCCTTCCATATCAAAAAATATTCCCATGTTGACCTCCCTGATGGTAGTGGCTAAGACTGCCAGCTACCAAGGCAGGGGGACTTGGATTCAGTTTCTGGTCCTGGAACTAGATCCCACATGCCGCAACACAGCCAAATAAATTTTTAAAAAAAGTTTTCCATGTTTAGTCAGATTTTTAACTCTTTGAATCACTGCGTGAAATCGAGGAGAGACAACTAAATGTAAAATGGCTATTTTTTATTTATTTGTACTTAAACAACAAACCTGCCAAACTGGTACTACTATGATGTGGCAAAATACAAAACATCATTCTCCAAAAATAGAGTGATGAACAAATTAGGGGTTGTAGTAAAATAGCTAAAAGGGGTGAAGGAAATCAGTAAAGCACCCTTCATCTTAAGGACTGAGATTCTTACCAAGTAAAGCCTTCCCATCCCAGAAAATATGAATAATCCTCATCATACATCTTTGTACTTTTGCTCCCTGTGCTTGAAGTTAGATTCTAGATCCTAAAAGTATCGAAAATATTATATATTATATCCAAAATACTATAATCGAGTTATCTATAGACAGACACCTTTTGTCATGTTGTACAGTGCTTCTGAAACCTCTTATTGGACTCATTACGCTCCCCTCAAATTGACACAAAAGATATAGTGAAAAGCAGCTTCCTAAGGGGAAGCGGTACAGAATTCTAAAACGAGAAAAATTCTAGAGAATATATAGTCTCTGCTCAGGTTAAGATTGCATACAACAGCCGTCACCAATAGCCTAGTTACAAATCTTCAGGCTGTATGTTGAGAGGGTAGTTTGGGAATAAATCCGTGATTTGCTGCTGGGAACTAAAATACTTGACAGTTTGCTGTATTACGTTATAATTTTCCCCAGCAGTTCCCAGGGTGGCCTCCAGATCACAGACAGGAGAATTCTGCTGGAGCTGTATTCCAGGCTGCAGGAATTCTTCCATGTAGTTGTTGAACTGATTGTTCCAAGGCTGGTTATTCCAGGCTTGGGGGCTCCAGGCCTGATCGTTCCAGGGGTGGTTGCTCCAAGACTGACTGTTCCAGCTCTGGTTGGTCCACGTGGGGTTATTCCAGGTCTGGTTACCCCACATGGGCAGGTTTCCAGGAGAGTTCACCAAATACCCCTGGTGGTAGGAATAGAAGCCTGGGTATTCTGCTGTTGTTGGGCCCTTTTGAAGAAAGAAGAATGAATTAACTGAAAAAGTACTTGGAAGTTCAGAATTGCCCATGGTTGTGATTGCATGCTGCAGCAATAGACAGAACTAAAAAGTCTTTCTTAGGAAAAAAGCAGAAAAATTTAAGTTTTCTGTTATTACCTGAGGCATGCCATTGCTATTCCTTGGCCAGTTGTTTTTCTGCCATTTCTTACATTTCATTCTCTGGTTCTGGAACCAGGTCTTCACCTGACAAGGAAAAGATAACCAGAAAAATTTAGGATATTAGTAGGGACCTCCTGTCTTCCAATGCAGGAGACGTGGGTTCAATCTCTGGGCAGGGAACTAAGATCCCATGTGCTACATCTACATGGCCAAAAGTGAAGTCGCTCAATCGTATCCAACTCTTTACGACCCCATGGACTGTAGCCTACCAGGTTTCCCTGTCCATGGGATTTTCCAGGCAAGAATACTGGAGTGGGTTGCCATTTCCTTCTCCAGGAGATCTTCCTGATCCAGGGATTGAATCCGGGTCTTCTGCATTGTAGGCAGACACTTTACTGTCTGATCCACCAGGGAAGTCCATTAAAAAAACCCCCCCAAAACCCACAAATAAATTTAAAAATAAAATATTAGTAATGCAGGATGTATTGATAGTAGGAACCAAAGAATATTAAGGTTTGGTTTTTTTCCTGATAACTACAACTATCTCAAACTTGATCTTGAATCTGTGAGTGAACTTCAAGCCTTTCAAGTCAGTTGGCTTTTTTAGTAAACTTATGTTTAATAAACTTAACCAGTTAGATACACTGTGAGTATGGCTACCAACTAGGAGGTCCACATTTAAATGTCTACCCATACTGTTCATTAGTCACAGTTGAAAGTAACTTGTTCGCAATAATAAGCCCCCTCTTTCATATTAGCACATTTACATTTAATATAATGGTATTTTAGTTCAAGAATTAAGAAACATACTTCACAAGGACAACTATACATAAAGATCATTTGATAGGACTTTCCAAGTATGGTACCAGAAATAGAAAACCATTTGCCTGAATAAACTAGCCAATTAATATATGAAAAATGACTAACTTCATCAGTAATCAGATGTATACAGATAAAACATGCAACTTTAATTTTAATGAGAACCAGTGGTTGGCTAAGACTCTTCTAACTCAAGATGATAGGAGTGTGTTTTTCGTTTGTTTAAGGAAAAATTGGAAACGTTTTCACAATTTTGGCTTGTTTAACAAGGGAAATGGTTTAATAAATTATGACACATTTGCAATAGATATTTAGTGAAAGAAAGATGGTCACAAAACACATTACAAAAAGATTCCATTTTCATTGTTAAAAATTAACTTATTTGTAGGGGTGCATAAACATTCTTTTTTTTTTTTTCTCCAAAAAATATATTTGGCTGTGGTGAATCTTAGTTGTGACATGTGGGATCTAGTTCCCTGACCAGGGATCGAACCCAGGCCCCCTTCATTGGCAGTGCTGAGTCTTAGCCACTGGACCACCAGGGAAATCCCTTATTTTTTATTTCTTATTGCACAGACAACAAAACAACTGTACCTGCTTGTAGCTGAGGTTCAAGATGTTGGAAAGTTCTTGCATTTGCTGGAGGCTGAGGTATTTCTGCCTCTGAAATCTGTCATTGAGCACACACAACTGGGTCTGTGAGAACACAGTCCTGATCTTCTGTTTCTTGACTGGGACGTTCTCTTCCTTCTCTGTGCTCTCCTCTGCAGACGGAGGCAGTGGTTTCACTCTGGGGCTTGTGGAAGAATCAGGACTATCCTGAATAAGCAGATCCATGGAGGAAGGAAGAGGAGAAACTGTTGGGAATAAAACAACACTTTTCTCTAAAACTTCAAATATTAAAAATGCATTGTTTTCAAAGCACTACTAAAAGTCCTCAGAGTGAGATAGTAGGTAATAACTTTATTCTTGAGCGATCCTGAACACTCTGCCAAGTTTTTCACAAAAAATATTTTACATGTAATAGACATGGTTAATATCATGTGTTGCTGGGAAGCAGTTTTTGTTCAGTGACTAAGTCCTGTCCAGACTGTGACCCTGTGGACTGCAGCTCACCAGTTTCCCCTGTTCTGGGTGGGAAGCAAAGGGGGACTCAAACCTCTGATAAAACAGATGATCCAGATTCTTGGGGACCCTATAGAATTAACAGTTTACTACCCAGTCTTAATACCAGGACTGTCAGAAAATGTGAATTCCAATAAACTCCTATTGCAACCCAGACCTTGGTTAGTTCTGTGGTCTCATTTCCAGTATTATCCCTTCCTCATGGAGTTTTTTGTTGTTGTTGTTTGGTTTGGCAATTGGGCCAAGCTTATCATAGGTTTTTTTTCTTTTAATGAAATATGCTTGCTGTATAATAGGTAAATCGCAGGTGTACAATAGTTATTTACAATTTGTAAAGGTTATACTCCATGTATAATTGTAAAATATTTGCTATCTTTCCCATGTTGTATATCTCATGGAGGTTTTCCATTGATTAGTATGATGCAACAGACAAAATTTAGAAGTAACAAAACAAGGTAACAGACAAAAATTGTCTAGCACAGGGCTTGACATATAATATTGACTTTGTAACTGAGACTTTATTTCCTGTATTAGATTTATTTGCACACAGGTATTCCCAGTGCTCAACTTGAATTCTATGCTTGTCATGGAATAAATAGACAGGCCTTTAAACAGCAACAACTAAAAAAAAAGATCACAATTTCACAAGTAGGAAAGTCTTCAATTCATGACTAGAGGTGAGGTGTGTCTTAAAAATTTTCTAGGATTCCCTGGTGCTCCAGTGGTTAAGACTCTGTGCTCTTCCAATGCAGGATGCACGGCTACAAATGTGCAGTTAGCTTGCTAGGACGACATGCCCACTTGCTTGTATTAAGTGCTGTATTTTCAGCATGTGAAATTATAAAAGGATACTAACACAAAATTTAGGTAAATGGGGTTCACATTAAAATCCAACACTCAAATATCTCAGTTGGGACATCTTGCCTCAAACACAGCAGTTGTTTTGTTTAATTATTCCCTTCTCCACAACCGAGTCCTACAGTTGTAATCATAAATAGTTCTTTGGCCTTCTTACACCATAAATGTTAAAAATCACATTCCTGGGTAAATGGCTAGTGTACCTTTTTATTTTTAATAATGACTGCCAAATTGATTTCCCAAAAAAGGTGGTGCTGTCTTTACAGTATTCTGAGCATCTCTTACATTCACAGTTACCAGTTAGAAGCTTAAGTACTAGAGCATAGATATATATATTTTTAAGTTTTTATTAAAGTATAAAGGAGATAGAGAAAGCTTCTGACATAGGTATCAGAAGCAGGCAGAAAGAGTACCCTAGAGCATAGCTTTGAAGCCAAACTGGATTTCAGATCTGAGCGCTTACCCACTTAGGCAGCCTATTAAACCTTCTGGAATCATCCACCATAAGGTGAGGTGAACACTTACTTCCCCTGAATTTAGGAGGCCTGAGCATACCAGATGCTTACAAACTACCCAGTAATATCCAAACATCCAGAGGTTAGGAGAAGACACGACGGCTACTTGTATAGTAGAAAGGTGAAATATTTCCAAAAGGTGCGTTTCGGATCATTAACGATGGCATCTCTAGCACACCTTGAATAAACCAAAAAGGTGATGCTAACCCGTACCAAGCGGTGATGTTCTGACTTCTGGCTTAGCAGTAACATTTACTGTTACCGGGTGCTACGCATGACGCTTAGATTTTACACATCAGTGTATCACATCGCGTTTGCCTGTGCACGTAAACTCTCAAATACACCGTATACATTTGAACTGCTCCTCCCGGGTCCCCCGTCTCTCGATCCACAGGTCCTGACGCCTGAGACACCAGGGAAAGCGCACTACCCCATCAGATTATCGTTGGAAAAGAGGTGTCGAGAGGATTAACAGATAATGACACCGGCTTATATTGATGGGCTCAAGAGGGAGACAAATGACCTTCAGTCCCTTTCTTCTTTCTCTTTCCCTGAAGGAATTTAGCCCCTCAAGGATTCAGTATTTTCTTACCAGTGTCCGTGTCGAGGGTGTCAGCAGATGACATTTGCAAGGATGCGTAACTTTCTTCAGGCATGGGTGAAGATTCCCTAGAGTTGGATGCTTCGGGGCCAAGCAGGCTTTGGGGACAAGCTGGATCCACACTCATGTTGTTGAGTTGAAGAAGCCTAAGAGCTAGATGCTAGATGCTAGGAAAAGTCCAGGCTGAAGAATCTAGGTAGAAGAACTTAGAGAAAGGTGAAGATCTCCAGGTGTGAAAGTATTTATTTAAAAAAAAAAAAAAGACGGAATGAAAGGAGTCACCGGCGAGATAAGAGCCAACCAGTCCAATCTAGGAAAATGAAAAAAAATTAGAGGCTCTACATTTATAAGTAAGGCTCAACCATACTTGGCCCCGCCCCTCCTGGCAACCCCACGCCCACACACACCTTAGCGAATTCCCAGTTAATCCCGTCTGCCAGTCTCACCAAGGCCATTGTAATGCAAAAGAGAGTTGCAGAGTAACCCTGAGCCGGTGGGGAACTGGAAAACTAGGACCTCGGAAATGGGAAGCACAATGAATCCAGCAATGAGATACTCCTAGCTTCACCTTGTTTCCACCTTTTAAAAGTCAAAGATGCACCTCCGATTCCTGTGGCCACCTAAGGTGATTGAAACTCTCACTGGGACAATTAATTCCCTTGATTTGAGACCCCCTTAGGGTCTCGAAATCAGGCTAGTTTATGGCAAAAACTGCAACTAACTCCATTTTCCTCTTCGGTTCACTCTAAGGTCACAGTAAAACACATGGAATGTTAAGGCATCAGCTGATGTTAAAAATTCGTACTTGTTTTCAACCCCCACCTAACTTCTGTCTTGGTTTTTGGCTTTCAGAAAAACCACCAAGTCTTTTCAGCAGGGCAAAAGCCAGAGGAAAGGACCTGCAGACCTAGGATCCTGGGAGCCTGGTTAGTCATCAAACATAAACCATGACTGTGGAGGATTTTAAATTGGTTTCTAAAAACACATAAACACGTAAGTGCTTGGCTTAGCCACTTTACTAAGTCTTGGTTTCCTCATCTACAAATAAGGGCAAAAGTACCTTATGTGTACCTTCTCTGTGTTATTGTAAGAATCAAGGAAAGTAAAATGCTCATAACATTTGACATGTCCGTGATCTACACCCATGGCTGTTAATAGAAATTCTTTCAGGACCCTATGCCCATGACCTCTGAGTCTGACAATACTTGATGAGATATTTGTTCTAATCCAGTGAACATGATGTTGCATCCAGTTGCATGACAGAATGAACGCACCACCTTCTTTACCTGGGACATTACTAGATGTAAAATAATAAAATGTATTGACCTGTGAAAAGAAAAGTGAAGGCGTTCCTTGCTCAGTCTTGTCCCTCTCTGTGCGACCCCAGGGACTGTAGCCCGTCAGGCGTCTCTGTCCATGGGATTTCCCAGGCAAGAATACTGGAGTGGATTGCCATTTCCTTCTCCAGGGGATCTTCCCAACCCAGCTATGGAACCTGGGTCTCCTGTGTCTCCTGCATTGGAAACAAGGAAAAAAGAACGTTATCAAGGCAATTGATATTCTCAGAATAGACTTGCCAGAGCAAATGTGATAGATTTATTTTAGAATCAACATTTGCCCTCCTGACTATTTTTCCTTCCTAAGCAGTCATCTTCATCTTGCCTTTTTTTGCTTCATCTGACTCTGTTTGAATAGCTTTTCCTTCTCCAGCATGGAAATCTCGTCTGGTCCTTAAACCCCACACCATCCTCTTTTTTCTTCTTTTGGTTTATTTCCCAAAGAAACAGTTTTTACAGTTGAATTCCAGCACTAACATATTTATGGACAAAAGATAACCATCTGCGCCTTCAATTTTCCTTCTCATTCCCAAATTCAACATTCAAGAATCTTAAGATTTCTTTGTTTCCAATCTCCCAATTCTAAAAGTAAACCCTTGGCAAGTTACAATGATACGTTTTTCTAAAATACAATTCTTGACTAATCCTCCCACCCCCTCTGCCGCTCAGGTCTCCACCTACTGGCTTAGCTCCCACACTAGCTGAGTTTAACTCACAATATAAAGATGCCAACTTGCAAGAGTAGGATTATTGCTGGGTCCAAACAAGGGGATGAAATTCTGTGTAATCTTTGTTTTCTCGGACCACCATCCTGGAGGGGAAAAGAGTCTGGAAGAGAGGCCTCAAGGAGAGGGTGGGTGGAATACATTGTGTTTCAGGCAGAGAGCTTCTGTCTCATTAGAAATAGAAGATGATTTCTTTAAAAAAAAAAAAAGGAATGTCAGGGACTTCACTAGCAGTCCAGTGTTTAAGACTGTGTGCTTCCACTGCTGGGGGCGTGTGTTCCATCCCCAGTCGGGGAACTGAGATCCCAAATGCCATGCAGCATGGCCAAAGTCGGGGAGGGGGGCGGAGAATGTGAGTGATGGATGTTATCTAAACTTATTATTGTGGTGATCATTTTGCAACACATCAGTCAGTCAGTTCAGTCACTCTGTCGTGTCTGACTCTTTGTGACCCCATGAGCTACAGCACGCCAGGCCTCCCTGTCTAACATCAGCTCCCGGAGCCCACCCAAGCTCATGTGCATTGAGTCAGTGATGTATTTGCAACACATATGTATGTCAAGTTATTACATTGTACACTTTGAACTAATACAATATTGTATTAATATATCAATTAAATTTCAATAAAAAGGGGAAAGTAAGTTTAAATGGGGGAAAACTAGACTTCCAGGCTCTCAATTAGCCCTGTTTGGTAGTTGAGGGCAGTCAAGGCCACCAGGTACGTTGGTTTGCCTGCAGCTCTCTAAACTGCTGGTACGCGAAGTTTTGTTCTTTGCTGGTGGGGGTCTTTGCATGAAAGCCTGAGATGAATTCACCCCATCCCCCTACCTGTGTCCCATTGTGTCTAAAGGAAGAGCCTCCGGAGAGAAAGACCAAAGGGCAGGGGGCTGGTAGCTGGAAGGTAGGCTTACTACATTCCTTGACCTGGAAAGCAATTTGAATGAGGCTGAGAATGCCTTGGAAGCTGTCAGATACCGTGGGTTTGTTAGGGTGGGCTGTGTGTGTGGAGGAGGGGTATGTGGGGCTCTGGAGTCCAGAGCCCCAAGTGCAAAAATGAGTCAGTGAAATCATGATTTTAAATTAAATTTTATAGTTCTAAGAGCAACATCTGGGAAGGAGAAGGAAAAAAAAAAGCTAAATACTAGAAAGGAGAAATATTTTACGGCTATGATTTATTCCTTATTTATAGACAAGAAGTGCACTTTGTGGGACTTCCCTGATGGTCCAGTGGCTAAGACTTCACACTCCCAGTTCAGGAGGTCTGAGTTCGATCCCTGGTAAGAGAACTAATCCCAAATGCTGCAACTAAGACCTGGCACAGCCCGTAAAATAAATTTTTTTAAAGAAGAAAAAAAGAAAGAAAGAAATGTACTTTGGGCTACACAGCCTTTTAGGAGAGCTGGTCCTGTTAACTTTTCATTGGGTTTTGTTGATTTGTCAAGGATAAGGGAATGGCAACCCACTCCGATATTCTTACCTGGGAAATCCCACGGACAGAGGAGCCTGGTGGGCTACAGTCCATGGGGTCTCAAAAGAGTCGAATATGTCTGAGTGACTAACACTAACAGTCATCACAAGTATTTTTTTTAAATATATATTTATTTTAGTTATTTGGCTGCGGCGGGTTTTAGTTGCGGCATGTGGGATCTAGTTCCCTGACCAGAGGTTGAACTCCCAGCCCCCTGCACTGGGAGTGTGGAGTCTTAGCCACTGGACCACCAAGGAAGTTCCATCACAAGTGTTAATACAGACTTTACCTCCCCTCAAATCTCAGGCATGGCATATACATCAAACGTGGAATTATTCAATGTACTGCTGATTTATTACTGGTGGAACTATTGAATATATTATTAATATATCATTGTTTTTAGGCTTCACCCCTTTGTCCACTTGAGTTTGCTTGAGTATGCCCAAACTGGTACGCATTCACTTTTTTTTTTAATTCTCATGTAAATTTTTGTTACTATTTCTTTCCTCTTCACATTGTTTCACTCTGCCTAATAAGCCGATTCTATTAGTAACAGTTTCTTGGCAGTGTGCATACATGTGTATACATTTAGTGATTTAACAGTTGATTGGTCAGGAAATATTTATTTGTTGCTGTTTCAGCTCATAGTAAAAGAGGTGCCTAGCATGAGCCTGAGAGGAAACAAGTAAGTAAATATGATCTCTACTTTTGAGGAGCTAACCATTTCATAGAGTAGATTAAATGTGTGATAAATATTGAAAACAAACCAACCAAACAGCACCAGGATGTAGACAAGAGATACTGGGGGTGAATAAACAAGGAAGGTAGAGTCGAGGAAGGGAGTCAGAGAAGACTTCTTAGAGGATCTTAAGTTGAGTTGAGATAGGAAAATGTTGAGAGACTAAGGAAGGGAATTCCAGTAAATACACAATTTGGGCAAAGGCATTAGGGAAAATGATGGATTCCAGTATGGTCACTTAACATGGCTCAGAGGCAGGGTGCAGTGGAAGGGGTTGTGAGAGAAAATGACTGGAACTCATCTATAGTGAGTTTTATATTTTTGTCCTCTGAGGCACTTTATTTGCATGCATATGTATTGTTGTTGTTCAGTCACTAAGTTGTGTCCAATTCTTTGGAACCCTATGGACTGCAGCACACCAGGCCTCTGTGTCTCTCACCATCTCCTAGAGTTTGCCCAAGTTCATGTCCATTGAATCAGTGATGCTGTCCAACTGTCTCATCCTCCGCTGCCTTCTTCTCCTCTTGCCTTCCGTCTTTCCCAGCGTCAGGATCTTTCCCAACAAGTCAGCTGTAACGTATTGTAATTGTATTGTATTGTATGTATATTACATTCCTGGACAAAGAGTCCAAGGATTTTCCCTCCTATATGTTTTCATCTTACTTCTTTACTGTCCCTGATACCTGCTGAGGTTGTCAGTACAATGAAACCAAACCAACAGGACAAGAGCAGGTTATTCTGCTGTTTTTCCAGATCGTTTACATCCAATCTGGGGCTGATCACGCCACACTTATTTTAGCCTGCCTGTGAGGTTCACAACAGTTTTCCCAGCCTTGTGGTCCTCAATGATTTAAAACTCTCCTGTGTAAAACCATGCTTCATCATCACAGT